GGCTAATCGAGCTAACAGTTCAAGACAGAACAATTGGAAAGAGACCATAAAAGAAATATATTTAAAATAATTAAAGCAATAAAAGAAGGAACGCAATTCACAATGAAAGAAAAGGACACTCCAGAAAGAACATGTCAGGAGGACCAATAAAACTCCAAGGTATGAAACACTGAAATGAAGACCTCAACAGACTGGGCTATGAGCAGAGCTATGGATCTGAAATGCATCAGAGAAACCCATTCAGGCCTGGAATGGAGAGAGAAAGGGACAGGAAATGGGAGGTCAGGAGACACTGGATGGAAGGAGCAGCCCAGCACATGAGAGCTGCGATGGAGAACTGATGGCAGACAGAGCCAGAGAAGAGATATGGTTGAGAATTTTCTAGAATCCATGAGGCCCTGAACCTTTAGCCTGAAGAATATGCATTCCTCAGAAAAACATTCAAATAACTCCACACCCAGGCACATCCCAGTGACACAGCATGGTCCTGTGACGCCGGGACACAGAGGGACAGCACCTTCACAGGGCTCCAAGAAGCTTTGGCAGCTGTGCCATCCACATTGGCACCTTCGCAGAAGGAGCAAGAGTAAGAGAGATGATCGTGTGGGATCACCCGAGACCCTTTTAGAAGGAGGAAGCTGACCCAAGCAGAGCTGATGAGCAGAGACATGGTTCATTACATGGGGTCAATGTCAGTGTCAAGCATACCTACAAGAGCAACAAAACAGCCACACTCCCCAAGCCACAGTACTGGCGCAGGGAGCTCCCTGGATCAAAAGAGATCTGGGTGGCAACTCTGCTAGATCTGCAATCTCCATATACAGATGATCCCCATGGAGGTTGAACCCTGAGCAGGCCTTAGTTGAGCTGGCCCAGCCCTCATGTGCACACCTGGAATTTGTGGTCTATCCTTCACTTCTGGATGGACCCCACCCAGCTGCAGGTAGATGCTAGCATTTCAAGTTCAGAAGACACCAACTGGAAGTCTGGGGGCTTGAACTTTGCCAGGGGTAGGGTAAAGGGGGAGAACTGACCTCAGACAGATGGAAGCTGGGCCAGGGGCTGACGGACTCCACTCCTCAATAGCTCTCCTCCTCCATCAGTTGGTTAGTCCATCAGCACTGCCTTTTCCCAACAAGAGAAGGCCTGCACGATGCGCAACTGCACCTGTTCCACAGCCCAACACAAGCCCCAGGTCTCCAAAAGGCCTCTTGGTTCAGCAGTGGTCAGGAATGGGCCCAGGGTGCACAGTCAGGGTCTCTACTCCCAAAGCTTCTGAATCAGGGTGAGGCTGGGCTCAGCAGGAGCCCCTGCGTGTAGCCCTCACTACCAGTTCTCCCTTCCCCCTGAGTTCCCTGATGCCTCCAAAGCCCAGGCAGGACTGGCGTCTCCCTGTCCCACCCTCCCGTCCTAAGGAGCAGGAAAAAAAAACCACCACCCACTCATCAAGGGTTAACTTGTCTCTCTCCAAAGTTGCTGTCTTCCAGCTTGCTCCAGTCCCCAGAACACAGCCTTACTTGGTGGTAAGGGCTTATACGGGCAGTCAAGGCACCCGGCAGTAATAAGACCAACCTTGGGGCAGCACTAAACCTGGTGTTCAAAACACCATTTGGGGTGCCCATATCTTGTAGTGGAAGGCCTGGATTTGATTTCCAGGTCCTGACCCTGGTTTTGTGTTAATGCATACCCTGGGAGGCAGCGCAGCAATGGCTCAAGTAATTAATTGGGTCCCTGTTACTCATGTGGGAGACTTAGACTGAGTTCCTGGCTTTTGGCTTCAACCCCAAACCTAATCTCAATTATTATAGGGATTTGCAAAATGAAGCAAGATGAGAACTAACTTTCTCTATTTCTTTCCCTCCCAAATAAATGAATAATTAAAAAAAAAAAAAGGAATTCAGGGCCTGGCGCAGTAGCATAGTGGCTGGAGTCCTCACCATGCACATCATAGGATCCCATATGGGTGCTGGTTCTAATCCCAGCAGTCCTGCTTCCCACCCAGCTCCCTGCTTGTGGCCTGGGAAAGCAGTCGAGGATGGCCCAAAGCCTTGGGACCCACGTGGGAGACCTGGAAGATACTCCAGTCTCCCTGCTTCAGATCGGCTTAACTCCAGCTGTTGTGGCCACTTAGGGAGTGAGTTAGCAGATGGAAGCTCTTTCTCTCTATAGTTGACTTTCCAATAAAAATAAATAAATCTATTTTCTAAAAAAGGAATAAACACACACAACCACGTGTGCACACACATGTGTGTGCATGCACACACAGTCTTCCAAGAGAAGACTGGAGTTGCACTGCCACAGACTGAGGTCCTCCCGGGAACGGCGGGGAGGCCTGGAGCAGACCCATCCTTCAGAAGGGCACAGCCCTGCCTGATCCTTCACCTTGATCCTCTGACCTCTAGAATGGAACCAGTAAACTGCTGTTGAGGCAACCCAGCCCCTGGTGTTTTGCAATGGTCACCTAGAACATTAACACATTGCCTCGCCTGCCAGCCTACCCCTCCCCTTCATGGTCCAGATCTGCCCACCATGGTCAGGCCCTCCTCCTTACTGTCCACAGAGTCCAAGTCCACCTTCATGTCTTCGCTGATGGAGTTTCACTCCCGCTCCCCACAAAGGCATCATTCTACCCCACCCCCAGGCCAGCTCCAGGCCCCTCAGAGCCTCCTGAAGACCATGGTTCACTGAATCCTCCCTGCCCTTGCCCCTCAGTCCCCATCCTGTCTTCCCCTCACACTTTGGGTCTCCTTCCATGTTGTTTTCATGTCCACCATTTTCCTCTTTTGACAATACCACTCATGCCAGATTGAGATCCACCCCCTTCTTCACTTGATTTCCCTCCACAAAGACCCTACCGGTAGATAACATCAACATTGTGAGGCCCTGGGAGCTAGGAATTGGGGAAGGGAGCACCATTTAGCTTCTAATATGAGTGCTAAGAATGTTTTACTGCTTAGCACAGAAAATATATCTGGAAACACCTTCACATTGGCCACTCCTAAACACACACACACACACACACACACACACACACACACACACCCAAATGCCTTGGCCATATGGTCTAGGAGTATGTATTTCCCCTGGGTGGGCTGCTCATTTAGTAAAGTGTGTTTTGACCCTTCCTGGCTCCCTACCCATTAAAGACACACTCCATACAAACACACTCAAACACACACACCCCAGCCAGAGGCATGAACCAGTACAGTGTATGGCAACCTTAAGCAGCTACAAAATTTTTCCATTACCAATCTTTAGAGAGGGATGCTCAACTATCTGATTCTTGGAGTGAAATCCCTGGAGAGATACTTGAGGCTCTAGCATGTTATTCCCAGCTCCACCCCTCCCCAGCATCAGAGTTTTTCTCCCAGGGCCTTATTTTGCTCACCTGTAAACTGGGAATAATCATGAACACCCCTTGTGGTGCTTCACTTATTCCCACAAGCACCCAATGCCTGTAATAACCAGAGCTGGGCCTGGCTGCAGCCAAGAGCCCAGAGCTCCATTCAGGTCTCCCCTGGAGCCCTCATCAGCTGCCGCCCAGGCTGTGCAGCAGCAGGCAGCTGGACTGGAGGCAGGCACTGAGCTATGAGCTGTAGACCTCCCAAGCACCACCTTGGGTCCAGCAGCACCACGAGTGGGCCGTAGCAGGTGCCGAATAAGTACTGTCTTGAAGTCCCCTTCTAGAACACTCTCTGTGTCCTGAACCAGCCCTGTGAGATGGGCTGTGAGCTCCCTGAGGGCAGCCACCAGGCATCGCCCTTGGCACATCCATCTCCCACAGGGACACACTGAGTGGCTGAGCATGAGCACAGAGGAGCAGAGAGAGGCTCAAACCCAGGCCTGAGGCCCTTGCATCTCAGAACCCAAAGTGCCCTACACTCTCCTCCCAGGCACACTTTCTACCCTGAACTTGGCTTAGACAGGTTTGCAGCCAGCAGTGTGGCCTGCAGTGCTGGGCAGTTACATAAAGACCAGGCTGGGAGGTCATGCGCTTTCTCCTTGGTCAGCAAGGCTGAGCTGAGCCATCAGGACACGCAGCACTTCTGCCCCATGCTCCGTTTTCCCAGTGCCTTCCCGATGGCCACTCAGGACAATGAGGGAAGGCAGGGCTCATCTGTTCTCCAAGCCCGTGCTGACAGTTCAACTCCCTTTCTAATCTTCCTATGCCCTGAGCAGGGCTGGGCTGCTCACATTCATCCTGCTTGTCCTCACAGGCCCCAGCTGTCCAGCTCCTGCTGACTCCTGCTCCCCTCCGTGAGCTTCGAGCCTTAACCTTGATCCCACTGTGATGCCTGGGTCCTACCCTGTCCTCACTTGACTCTCTACTCTGTCCCTAAGTCACAGTCATGCAAGATATGCTCAGGCCAAGGTTTTTTGGGTATTTTTTTTTCTTTGTTGGTATTTGTCCTGCAAAACCATCACTATTGAATCCATTCGCAGCAGCATTTTTCATTCGTTCCTGCAATGCAATTAGAATCGAATCCCGCTCCAGTATCGGGGGAGCAACGCTAGGGAAAAATCCGCATTTCATTCCCAACATCCTGTCCACCCCAATTTCTCTCTGGTGCCAGCTCCCTCCACGCACCCAAGGGAACCCACTCTATGATTGAAGGAGGAGCAGCAGAGCAGAGTCCCCCCTCAGTGATTCAGTGGGGCTCTCCCAGCTTCTTTGAGCCTCTCCTGCAGTGGAGGGAATCTGCTCCTGCCCCACCCACTCTGCTCCAAGGAAGTCCCCTACCTGGGAGGAAATGAGCGAGGAAACACCCCTCATAGCAATCCTTCAGCCAGAGATAACAGCTCTACCTGCCCGAGTCCAGCTTGCAGGATCCCATGGGGTACCCCTGCTGGCCCCCTGCCTCTCCAACCCAGAGGGCTTGTGGCAGCCAGCCACTCCACTTTGGCCTTTGTGATGGACAGCCCCCCTCCCTTCCCATCTTCTCCCCTCCACTGCCAGCTCTCCCCCAAGTAACCCGCCCCCACCAGCAGCCCCTACATACGGATGCAGAAGTCTCCATTCTCATAGTAGCCCGGGCAGCACTGGGACCTTCGCCGGTACATGGTCCGGAGGCCTCGCCGATATGCAGTCTTATAGCTGATCCTAAGGCATGAGGGAGAAAGCCACTTGAAGCAATTGGAAATCAATCACTCCCATTTAGAATGATATTTGTGTTAAGCTCGATCGAGGACGCCATTCAATAATTACTTGAGAATGCACGGCACTCTGCGTACGGAGAAACACAATGGAGAGAGATCGATGGCAGAAGCTGGGGCCTTGGGGTGCAGAGTGTGGCACGATACAACAGAGGCTAAACCTGCAGGCTGTCCCCCAGGCTCCCCCAAGCACATCTGGGGTGACCCTGGATCCCTGGGAACCTTCTGATTCTGACCTGAAGGAGAGCCCACGGGGTGACCTGGATGGTAGGTGGGTCCTGAGGGCTTCTGTGCCCATCCCCCCTCCAGCCAGGCTGTTCCGGTCCCCAACACCAACTCCCACATCCCTTGTGCTAGTCACTCCCCTGCAGCCCCGAAGACCAGGCAGTCAAAGGACAGCTAGGACCAACTCAGGTCCATAGAGTGGATTCATCTCCCTCACAGGTCAAACAACCCCTCCCAGCAAGACCTCATGTGCATAGTCCCTGGGAAGGTCCTGGCCCCTCCTTGCCTCAGAGAGAGAGAACTGAGGCCCACAGAGGTGCTGGAGCTCTGGCCAGGGAGGGGAGGAGGTAGCAGAAGCAGGGATTTCAGTCTCACTACACCTGCTGGGAGTCAGGACCTGCCCCCCCTCACAGTTATCCCTCTCCAGCCCTGGTGGCAGGTGCCAGAAGTGTCTGCCAACAACTATGTTTTATTATTTGATCTTTATTTGAAAGACAGAGTAACAGAAAGAGACAAGAAAAGAGAACTTTTATTTGCTGGTTCCCTCCCCAGCTGGCCAAAATGATGGGGACTGGTTTTGCAGAAGTCAAGAGGCTGAAACTCCATGCAGGTCTCCCATATAAGTGGTAGGGACCCAGGCCCTCAGCCAACTTCCACTGCTTTCCCAGGGAGCTGGATGGGAGGTGGAGCAGCCAGCACTGGAACTGGCCCCCACGGTCTGGGAAGCCAGTATCAAATCAGGCAATGGTTTGACCTGCTGCTCCCCAATGCCAGCCCCTGTTTTATTTATTTTTTCAAGCTTGTGTTTTTACTTATTTTCTGTCACCACTGCCCTTTGTTTTATGTATGAGAACACTGAGAGTCAGAGAAGTTATCGACTTGTTTGAGGTCACACATTTGGGAAGTGTCGGAGCCAGGCTTGCAGCCTGGCTGAGCTCCCTCTAAATCGCTGAGCTCCCACTGGGCAGCCACCAAGCAGCAGCGGGACAGGGGGGACCCTGGGGGCGTGATGGGGACTGTGGTCTCAGGAAGGACTCAGGGCCACGTATGGCTAGGCAATACTCTTGCCCATGCAAGGAATTCAAGTGCAGGAGATCCAAAGTGGCTGTCAGATCCACAGGGAGGAAGGGGGCTTGCAGTATGGCCAGAATTCAACTCTGGGGCCAAGGGCCCAGAAGCCAGAGCTCTGGCCTCCTCATTGGCACCCAGGGGAGCCTGCCCCAAGGACCACTTCTCTGCCCAAAGTAGCAGGGGCTGGCCATGGTGGCCACTGGAGACACCCACTGCCTGCTTCCCCTGGTGGGCTGGGGACTCGCTTCTCCATCCCAGCATTCCTCCTTCATGACAAATGACAGGTGGGCCTCTGGGGAAAGCCTTGATATTTGGGGACGTCATAAGTTAAGGTCATTCTACTTTGTCAAAAGCCCATAAGGGAAGGTAGGCTGGCCTCAGAGGGAAGCTACAGGAAGGCAACTCCTGGCAGCCTTAGGTGTCATGGGCATTGCTCTGAGGCCTTCTAGCACATTTCCCCCCACTGGGCAGGATTGCCCCCAAGTCCTGGGTGTCATTATTAAGGATACCCTCCCCACTTCCCCCACCCCATGAGAGAGACAGCCCCTGCTGCTTCTGGCCTGCCCATCCTGGCTTGTTGCAACATGGGAAGCAGGCGAGAGTGGAAGCCAGGCTGCTCAGAAGAAGGATGCTGGCCGGGGCAGATGGATGGTGCGGCTGTCAGCGTGCACACTCCGGGTCATCAGGAAAGCTGCAAGGCCACTCAATAATTCAGCAGAACCATTCACGGTGTAGGGCTGCAGCTGGTGTTAAGAAGCAGCACCGGCTCTTGCAGCCTGGGTGGTGAGGGATGCCAGCTCCAGCCTGCCAGGATCTCGCAGCACCACACCTCAAAGCAAACCCACTCTGGTTCAGAGCTGGTCAGTGCCCAGGGAATGAGGCAGGACCTGCATTCACCTTGAACTGCCTGTGTTGACGCTTGACTCTAGCTACAAAGCCTAGCTTCTTGTGCACACAGACCAAGCCAGTTACTAGAAACAGATTGCACGCTAAGCCCAGACTTCATGGGAACCAGGGAGTGAAGCAATGCATGCGCGCTCTCTCTCTCTCTTTCTTTCTCTCTCTCTTTCTTTCTTTCTTTTTTTTCTTCCTTCCTTCCTTCCTTTCTTCCTTCCCTCCTTTCTTTCTTTCTTTCTTTCTTTCTTTCTTTCTTTCTACCTTTCTACCTTTCTTTCTTTCTACCTTTCTTTCTTTCTACTTTTCTTTCTTTCTCCCTCACTCCCAAGGAGACAGAAGAAAATCTGGCATGCAGCATAGACAGGCCTCAGCGGGTCCTCTCCCCATAAAGGTAGGATTGGGGTATTTACCCACCTTGTCTCTGTCTGCTGTGAACTTGCCAACACTTCTGGCTTGCTTTACCCAAGTTCCTTCAGCCACAAAGACACCAACCAGTAGAGCACTGCAGGTGTCCAGTGGGGAAGGAGAAAGTCAAAAAGATACAGGAAATGGCCCCCACATCAGCCTACCCAAGGAGCTTCCCATTAATTTGCACAAATGGGCGGCTGAGGCAGCCTAGCACCCCTCCCAACTTTGTCATCCAAGAGAGCAACTCACCGATGCCGGGTGCACTTGAACCAGTTGAGGATATCGGTGCATCGCGTGTAGTAGATCTGATCGAAGGGGTGTGCGTAAGATTCCTGGACGGTCACGGCATAGCTGAGAACCAGACAGGGGAAGGAAGCCATGCTCAGCCTTGGGCAACTGAGCTGCAAGCACAGGGCAGCCACCCCATCCCATCCCAACACCCTCCTCCTCCAAGTGCCCTCAGCATTCCAACTGCCATGACACATTCCCTCACCAACCTGGGGCCCCTGCTCATTTTCTGGAACTCATCTGTTCATCCCACAGACAATGACTATAGGAGGCTTTTGTTTTATTTTGAGTGGTTCCAGAAGACAGAGTCAGTAAGTATAAAAGCCCTGGGATCTGATCCTGAGGGTTTCAACAGCACATGTACAGAAATGGCTCTGCGTTACAACTTCGTGAAATAAGTGATTTGTTTTAAGGATGAAAAACTGGGCCAAGCACAATGGCTCAATTGGCTAATCCTTCCATTGCAAGTGCCACCTTGTGTCCTGGCTGCTCCACTTCCCTTCCAGCTCCCTGCTTGTAGCCTGAGAAAGCAACAGAGGACAGCCCAAAACCTTGGGAACCTGCACCATGTAGGAGAACAAGAAGCTCTTGGCTCCTGGCTTTGGATTGGCTCAGTTCTGGCCATTGCAGCCACTTGGGGAGTGAGCCAGCAGATGGAAAAATCTTTCTCCCTGTCTCTCCTTCTCTCTGGAAATATGCCTTTCCAATAAAAATACATAAATCTTTTTTTAAAAAGTGAAGAAACTAAAATTCAGAGAACATCAGCCTGTGTTCTGTATCGGAGCCTTCCACCTGTCAGCCTTAGTAGCTGGCAGAAATTGCTATGCTCACTTTGAGACAATGGAGCACTGGGGAGCACAGGGGCTCCCTTCCAGTCTGCAGGGTGGTCAGCAGCTTCGTGCCCCCAGCCCTTCTGCTGCATACAGAGTTCTGCCATCCTGCCTGCTGCCTCTAAACTTAGACCAGCAGGAGGAAGCCACAGGGAAGCAAATCTCAGCTTCTCCAGAATCAGCCTCTCTCCCTGTCTGCCCCTGGCAAGGGCTGTAGGAAGTGGCCTTCACGCCTGGCAGCTGTCACAAGGCCTCACCCTGCCCGTGTGGGCTGCCGGGAGGAGCCCGGTGAGATGCCAGCAACTCATGTTTATGCAGGTCACTGTTACTCTGTTTTCCCCAGAAGGCTCACTGCTGAGGGCCAGATGGCCAGGTCCAAGCTATAATAGTCCACCTGCTATGCCTGAGGAACCTGTGCTGGCTCATTTTCCAAGAGTCCTGGGCAGCATGATGACCTGAGTGAGCCTGCTGCAGGCTCCCTGGTACCTGAAAGGTCAAGGGTTTTGAATCCAGAAGGGAACCAGCAGCAGGTGGCAATGCCTGGGTACCCAGGGCCGGGGTGGGGATGGGGGTTGGGGCAAAGAGGAGTAATCTACTCAGAGAGCCATAGCAGCAAACACTGGCACACCCCCAACACAGGCACAACACAACCTATTTGTCTGCAGGCCTGGGGAAGCTAGGACAGCTCGACATCCACTGGGGCTGCCCGATGGCCTTTTCCTGTGCTAAAATCTTGTGATTCCCCACCCCTATGCTCCAACACATTCCGTGCACATCTCTCCCCCAAGCACGGGTCCCAGGACCCAGGCTCGAAGCCCAGACCCACAGGGTCCAGTCTGAAGGCTGGTGCTTGCCAGCAACATGTCCTTAGATGTGACAAGCTGCTATTTCCTCACCTGTCCAGCTAGGCTACATATTCCCGGGGCCTCTATGCAGTGTGGTTATAGGGGTAGGGGTGAAAGCTGGGCAATCATGATATTTATCTCTCTGGGGGGTGGAGGAACAAAAACAACATAATACATGGACAAATCCATGGGAACAGAGTAGATATTCAACAGCTGCCCACCATCATGACATGGCAGGTAATAATAGGGAGGGTGATGATAATGATTGCCTAGGGGTATTTTGTCCCTGACCGTGGTGGGGAGGGAAGAAGTAAGACTACATCCTGGGAGGACTCCCCTTCCTGTGCCAATGCTCATGGAAACAAACCAACTTCCAGGGACAGAGGGTTGGGGAGAGGCACAGCTCTGCTGAACGCCCTGAGCCGAGCGGGTCTGGCAAGGAGAACTTGTGCTGACATCAAGCCCCGCAACCTGAAGCGTGTGGCCCCTGCTTTCACAGCTGAGTGCTTGAAGGCTGCTCCTTTGCCAGCATGCTAATGAAGGGCTGGATTAATCTTGTAGAGCCAGGCTTTACCAGCCAGGGGAGAGCTGCACACCGGGCTTTATGGCAGAGGAGCATAATTAATGAGGAGCCCGCCAGAAGCGCTCATCTAGCTGGGAAATTCTCCCTAAGTGGTCTCCAGGGGCCAGGCTGGGTTTCTAGGATGGCACAAGCCAAACCCGTGCATGCATGTCTTGCAATGGAAAAGCCAAGATGGGCCAGGCATCACTAGCAAGACTTCCTTGCAAGTGGCTGTGGGTATCTTCCCTGTCCTCCCACCCACGCTGTCCCTGAGCTGTAGGACCACCCTGCTTGCAACGCCAGCTTTCTCCATGCCAGGCAGGTTAAGCCAATTAGAGAGTTGTATCTTAGAGTGAACTGATGCATAAGAAAAAATGGGACTCAGAGAAGGGGGAAAAGGCAAGATTGGTCCTGGAATCAGGGAGGCTCCCGGGTCAGAGCCACTGGGAAGCCGGAGTTGTCACCAAGAGAAGATAACCAAGCTCAAAATACCTTCCCACAGCTGGTGCCTGGACCCGCAATACGCCCAGGGTGAGAATGACTAACGCACAGGAGGGACTGAGCTCCCAGCAGTTGAGAGACTTCCCCAAGAGCATATACCTTGCCGTGGGGAAAGCCCAGCCTGGGAGGACTGGGGCTGTCTCATCACAGACCTCGTGTTATCCCCCTTTCTCCAGGAAAGGGCCCACATAGCCCTGCCTTTGGCTCTGGGACTCCATCAGGAAGCATCAGCTCACAGCAGGTGGTGCCGGCCTGGGCCTTGTCCCTCTGCCTCCCACCCTGCCTGCACCACTGGGTGGGATCTGGGGGAAGAACAGAAAGGGCAGTCACCTTGTAGGCATGGAGCCTGCATGGCCCAGCACCCCTCTCCTCCCTCTGTCATCCTCCTCCCTGACTAGGTTCTCATTTTAATTTCATTCATTTGATTTATTAACGTTCAAGTGGCAGCGGCATCCTGGGCAGTGTGGCCAATCAATGCCAGGGTTTAATTTGGTTTTTCCTGATTGGGTCTCTGGTCCCTGTCTTTGTACTCACCAGAATCAATACCTTCACCTTGCACTTCAAAGTCAGCCATGCACAGGCTCTGGCCCACTCCTCCAGGACATACCACTGCAGCCAAGACTGAGCTGGCTCCTCAGTCACTCCCCTCTCTTGGGGTGGCCCCTGAACTGACCATGCTAGAGCAACAGCCCAGGGCCAGCTGCTGGTCACACAACTAAACTGTCACACCTCTGCCAGGCCTGGGAGCCCTGGTCCACCTTGTCACTGTACCCCAGCTGACCTATGTGCTCTAGGCCTCTACTTACCTGTCTGTAAAATGGACAGGCATTGCAAATTCAGAGAGGGGCAAGAAGCATGCCATCCTCTGTCACTATGTCAACCTGGCACAGCACTGAATCCTGTCCTGCCTTCCTGCATTGGTCCCAGAGTCCCCAGTTGGACCACAGGCCCACTGTGTGTCCATCAAATTCTGCTCTTGTTCCTACAGTGCCTGACCCAGGATGGGGGTGGGGCACTCCCCTGGGGGTGGGGGCGGTGTCTGGCCATCTGTGTCCCATGCCTTACCTCTCCCAGTGGCTGCACACGTTGGGGTCCTCAGGGTTCAGGGTGAAGGCAACTGGCAGGAAGGAGGCAATCAGAAGCTCCACCATGGAGAGCGCCATCCTGGGCCCTGTGTGAACAGAGGAGAGCACATATTTCAGCATCTATTTGCCTCGGCATCTATTGAGCACAGAGTCCCCTCCGTGCCTCACTGGAACATCCTGGCGGAGCAGCCCGTGCTCCCCGATTGTGGCATGACAAGCATTTCACTTTCCGCACTTGCAGGCTTGGGTGTGCACAGTAATGGCGCCCAGGTCCCGAACTGCACCAGAGTGGGAAGCACCAGGCAGACAAGACTGCAAACTCCAGGCCAGGGGTCTGGATGGGTTCAGAGTCAGGGTCTTCTGTGAGCTCCCTGTGAAAGCTATGGGCCTTCTGGGGGAAATGTTCATGGACACGAATGTGGCTCTCATTTTAGGGGATTCTGAGGCTTCCCTGAACCCATCCTTGGACCCAGGACCTCCCAATCTATACTCCTTAGAGGGCAGTACCTCTCACCATCTCTCTCTTCTGCATCTTGGACCAGCCTGGCCCATCTACTTCCTCTCACCTGCTGATGCATGCCAGTATGGCATGGCCCTGGGCATGAGGGAACCTCCCCAAGTCAACTCTGGCTGTGCTGCCTCTGGAAGTCTGGACCTCAGTCCTGTCACCTGCTTGGGGCTATCAGTCACCCATACCCAGGATGATGCAGCCCCTACAGGCCTACCTCCAGCAGGAGGCAGCTCCCAGAGTCCCTGTAGTGAGAACAAGAGATCCCTTGTTCACTCAAGAGGGGATCCCCAACAATGGACCTCTCCCAAAGGGAGGAGGGTCTGAAATGACCTTAGAAGTTCCTGCCAGGGCCCCATGCTCTTGCAGCCTTAAGAAATCCCAGATTCTTTGGGCCCAGTGTAGTAGCCTAGTGGATAAAGTCTTCACCTCGCATGTCCTGGGATCCCAAATGGGCACCAGTTCTAATCCTGGCAGCCCCACTTCCCATCCAGCCCCCTGCTTGTGGCCTGGGAAAGAAGTAGAGGATGGCCCAAAGCCTTAGGACCCTGCACCCACATAGGAGACCTGAAAGAAGCTCCAAGCTCCTGGCTTTGAATTGGTACAGCTCCTACCATTGTGGCCGCTTGGGGAGTGAACCATGGACAGAAGAACTTCCTCTCTGTCTCTCCTCTCTGTATATATGACTTTCCAATAAAATATAAATAAATCTTAAAAGAAAATAGAAACCCCAGATTCCTATCCCGGAGCTACCCACATGGATCGCTGATTTTGGGAGCCTAAGTCAGGGGCTCAAAGCCACTTCCAGCAGAGCCGGGGCTGCTTGGTATACAGACCTCTCCTGTGGCTGATAGAACAGAAAGGAACGGAAAGAAAAAGATCTAGGTTTCAGCAGGAATATGCTAGAAAGGGCTCCATTAATTTTGCCCCTGCCTTTACAGTAGCTAATATAGAACCACCACACTAGCTCCTTGGAGATCACACACTAAAAACGCACAAATACTCCTAGAATACAAGACCTCAGCGGCTTCGCCTCTATTTCTGTCAGCTCCTCTGATGACATGGTTTGCAGCTTCTCTTTCTCTGACTTACATAAAACCTCACTTCTACTCTCACTGCTGTTTCTGGTCAGATAAATTGTCATCAACACCAGGACACGAACCTGGACTCATCTTGCCGGTTTTCCTGCATCAAGTAATGGAAATAGATGGTGGTGGCTGCTTAGGATCCTGTGCTGAGACACTGGGGCTGAGTGAGACCAGGATTGAGGAGTGGGACAATGCAAGTATCCTGCGTGGCTGAACAAATGCTACTGCTTTAGAAATTGCACCAGTTCCAGCCCAGCTGCTCCATTTTTGATCTAGTTCCCTGCTAGTGCATCTGAGAGGGCAGTGGAGAATGGCCTGAATCTTTGGGGCCCTGAACCCATATAGGCTATCAAGAAGAAGCTCCTGGCTTTGGATCAGCTCAGCTCCAGCTGTTGTGGTCATTTAAGGAGTGAACCAGCGGATGAAAGATCTTTCTGTGTGTGTGTGTGTGTGTGTGTGTGTGTGTGTGTGTGTGTGTCCTTCTCTCTGTAACTCTGCCTTTCAAACGAGTAACAAGTAAATTTTTAAAAAATTAAAATACAGAAATTATACCGCTCCTATAATTGCTTGCTGGGGGTGGCCTCAGCTCCACCCTTTGGAAATGAGAACCTGCGTGTGGCTTTCTGCCCCTTGGTTCACACACCTGGAATGCATGCCTCATGGAGACTGGTGTTTCCATCTGTGCTGTCCACTGCTATATCCCCAGCACCCACTGCACCCTCGACATGCGGCAGGGGCCCAGACTGCCTTTGTCACCTGATTGCTACCCCAGTTTCAACCTTCCACGCATCCCAACCCTCGGGATCAGCCACATCATGCTGCTGGCCTAATGGGGGATGCCAAAGACAGGTCCCAACTGTAGTCCCGCTGTGTCAGCATCACACCCATTGGATGTGGTGGGCAGGCAGCAGGGCCATCCTGATGAGCTGTCCAAAAGACCCCATGTGTGCCTGCTCCAAGAACCTGCACATACAGAAGCCCCATCAACAGCTCACACTGCACATGGGAACTGGTGGACGCTGCCATCCCAGTGGGCAAAAGACACTTCCAGGCCCAGGCAGGAACAAGAGTTAGACACGCCCCCTCAAGCTGGGGACGATGTCACATACACCTTACATTGCTCCCAGCATGTCTGGGCATGGGACCATCACTATCCTCCTATAGAATGCGCACACACAAACTCTCAACTTGTTTCTCAATGAAGCAACCAGGTTGTTTCACATGATGGAGCAAATGCCAAGATAACCTCCAGCCCCGCCAAGTTCCTCCTTTGCCCACTGCCCCTGGTGGCACCACAGCCTGGCCCCACTCCCCACTCCCTCCAGTGGCCTTGCTGGTTGTGATTAGCTAGAGATGAGAGGAGCTGAGGCACGGGCCTAATTAAGAGGCTTCTCCATCGCCTTGATGAGGCTTCTCGCCCTCTGGCAGGCCCCTGCAGGGCCTGAGTTGCTATTGAACACTTTTTAATCTGTTCACACTTAAAAAAAAAATCAGGAGTTTAGTAAACAAACTCCCGTTCTTCATCCTCACAAGAGGGACACCCAGACTTGGGGAGGGCTCAGCAGAAATCCCTAGCACCAGCTCGGAGGCCCTGCCAGGAGCCTGCCTTGCTGGGATAAATCAGGGGGGACTAGAGTCACCACCAAGACGTGGTAACCATCTTCCTCTGAGGCCAGCCATTCCACCCTGATAAATTCTGCTTTCTTCTGGTCTGGGAAACCTTGGGCTGCAAATCCTGAAAACGGCACCATGGAGGCCAGCAGCGAGCATTCATCAGGTTGCTGTCCCCGGGGCCTGTCCAATCCTGCAGAGACCAAGCATCCCTGGCAACAGTCAGGCGAGGAGAGTAATCACAGCCCACCCCTGGGGTGGGTGGAAGTCAAATACCTCCCTTCCCCACACCTACAGCTTCTGAGGCCCTCAACACTGCCTCCCACAGCCCCCTCTCACATACCCACACACCTGGAGCAGATGAACTCTGCATCCTCAGCCAGCAGCCCTGCCAGGGACATCAGAAAACTTATCTCTGTTCTCAGGCCATTCCATTTCTCACTGAAGCAATTATCTCCATCTTTCTATTTCTTTGCAAATCAGAGCCTGCTCAGCTGAGCTAGCTAACCCTGAGGCCCTACAAGGTCCTTCCCCAGCTGCCAACTGCAGGCCTGCTCCTCTCCTGCCCCCTCCCCCAGGACCCAGGATTCCTCAGAACCTAGAGTCGCTGCTGCCTTCCATCCATAAAAACCCCCGCAAGACCCATCAGGGGGTGTTCCAAGGGGTCAGCCCACTCTCCTGCCCACTGGGGAAAACAGATCTCAAATCACAGGATGCAACTGCAAGGTGGGACAGGGGAAAGGCTGAGGGATCAGGTGGGTCCTGGACAACTTTCATCACTGGAAATTCAAGTCTCCAAGGTTAAGTATCTTCCCATGGGCAGCAGACCACGTAGTGTCAGAATTGACCTGGCAGTGCCTCAAAGCCCAGGAGGGGAAAATGCACCCCAAAGAACACACACTAGGCAGGCTGCAGTGTCCAAGTAGAGGGCATAACAGCATCAGTCTGACCTGGATTCAAATCCTGATTTTGCCTTCTCAGTTATATAACCCAGATAAAACCACTGATCTGTTCTCTAGCTATGTCACATGATCTAGGACCTGCCTCCCAGGACTGTTAAGATCTACACAAGAGAGCAGCTAAAGCACTTGGCCTTGGGTCTGGCACATAAAAGGGGCTCAAAAACAGCTTGGCCTCCTCCCTAGCCATTTCTTTGTAGAGGTCCTTCCTCCTCTGAGATTCCCACTGCAGCAGAAAGCAGAGAGACCTGCAGGGGTCTCCTCGGCTGGAGAAGCCAGGCCTGCCCGGCTATGCACAGGTGGTGATCACAACTGGTGTCAGCCCTCGGCTCTGCAGCTCACACTAATGGCACGTCCATCAGAGATGATATGGGCAGAGCCCTGCTCCCACACCTGCTGGCAGGTGCCTGGGAATAGCTTTGACCCAGGTTGTGGCTTAACTCAGACCACGGGAGCCTTTGCCAGCAGGAAGCCTCAGAAAAGTGTGAGAGAAGTAGGAGACCTTTGCAGGGAGCCGTGTTAAGCACCCCTCATGGGATTCCCCTTCTTCACAAAGGATCTGGCTCACTTCCATGCTGGCTCAGGCTTGGCCCTCTGAAGGGAGGGAAGATACATGCAAGCCCACCTGGCATCCCAGGTGCAGGGGCCCAGAGACCCAGGTCTCTCCTCTTTCCCAGTTCCCCTCCTGAGTTCCAGCTCTGCCTCCTACATGCTCTGTTCTTCCCCTCTGCCACCAAAATCACTCCCTTGTTGTGTTACACAGAAAAGCTTGTTCAGCCTCGCTGAACTTCAGTGCAAGTTCATGCACACCATGTCTGCCTGCCTCTGCCCTCTCCTCAACCCTGTACCTTGAGTTTGCCCTGATTCTTAGCAACAGGTCATGAAGCAGAGGACACAGAACTGGATTCTGGTCTAGGATGCCA